TATATTTACGCAGACGCTCTGTATGTTTTGTCCTGCCAATACAACCGTGTCCCCAGTTCTCTGTCTTCTCCCTATCGCGTAGTCTGGCAGGCGCAGTGCACACGTAACCAAATCGCTCGGCCACCGCACAATACAACACTGGCAGTCGGGTGTTCACAATGGCAATTTCATTCGAACAGATGCAGTCTCTCCTCAGACAGCAGCAGCAACATTTTGAGCTGGCACAGTTGAAGCTCATCCAGACTCACCGAAAAATTGTCACTACAGAAGCCGATTAGCCAGACTGTTGAGCCGTCCTCTTCAGTGATCGACACGATGCTCAACGCGATTCCTGAATTCCAGTTCAGTCCGATCTCATGCATTACTTTTGATTCTTGGTTCAACAAGCATGAAGACTTTTTCAGGTTGGAACTGGGAAGCAGAGAAGATTCTTGGAGAGCAAGACAGTTGGTCAGGAAAATTGGAATGGCCGAACATGAACGCTTTACGAACTATATTTTGCCACGAAAACCAAGTGACCAGACTTTTGAAGAAACCGTTGCTGTTTTATTGTCAATCTTCAGAGAACAGGCCTCCTTTTTCAGCCACTCATTTCACTGTATGAAGTTGAGCAAGAATGCTTCTGAAGACTGGGTTACATACGCGGGCAAAGTCAACAAGGAGTGTGAACGTTTCAACCTCCGAAGCATGACAGAGGATGAGTGCAAATGTCTTATATTTGTGTGCGGGTTGACGTCTCCTGAAGACGCAGACATAAGAACAAGAATCCTCGGCAAGACTGAGCAGAACCCAGACGTCATATTACAGAATATTACGTCGGAATGCCAGCGCCTGATGAATTTGAAGCGTGATACTGTCATGATACAAGAAAGTGATCCCACCAATGCTGTTCATGCTATTCAGAAGCATACTGTCCGTCAGGGTGACAAGAAGCTATCCTCGGCATGCTAGAAATGTGGTCAGTGGCATTTCGTAAATTTTTGTCCGTTCAGAAGACACCACTGCAGCAGGTGCTCCCGTATGGAACACAAAGAAGATCGGTGTTATGGCGAGAGAAGGCAAGCACCCAGGAGGCATTCTCGAACTATAACTTCCAATTCCAAGCTTCCAAAGGCTCGCGTTGGTCTGGTCGCTCATCAAAGCCCACACCTAAACAGGAGGAAATACGTATCACTACGTATTAACAGCACACCTGTTCGTCTCCAGCTGGACACGGTATCGGACCTCACCACCATCTCAAAAAGAACTTGGAAATTTCCTGGCAGCCTAGCATTAACCAGGACCAAACAAGTTGCACGCAGTGCATCTGGAAGTTCACTGAAACTCTGTGGTGAGTTCAGTTGTTCTGTTACTTTTGATGATATCACCGTTAGTGGCATCTGTCATGTGTCCAATCGTTCTGGATTGGATTTATTAGGATTAGATTGGATAGATAAGCTAGACCTTTCGGACAGGCCACTGAATACTATCTATTACAAGACACAGGCGACGAAAGCGAACAGATTCAAAAAGGTGCCTGACTCGTTTTGGAAGAGGGACTCAGAAGGTCGCAGCCCGTGCACTGAGTCCTTGTCAAACCACCCTCAATCAAATGGCCAAGCTGACAGATTTGTGGATACTTTTAAACGAGCACTGTTGAAATCTCGAGGGGAGGGACCAACGGACGAATTCATTCGTTTTCCTAACCAACTACTGGACGACACCAAACCCAAGTGCGCCCAATGGGAAGTCTCCAGCGGAACTTATGCTTGGGAGGAAAGTGAAGACATTGTTTGCTGCATTGCTCCCCCGAAATACCAAAGAGACCAGCGATGAAAACCAACCAGGACACTTCAACGGCAAATGTCGCTCTGGACGTGTTTTTAGCCGTGGAGACTCCGTCCTTATCNTTATTTGGCCATCTATTGCTTTTGTAACTTTTAGCCTTTTCCATAACTTTTTTGCGCTTGAATTTTTCACTTTGTTCTTCGTTTTTTGCTGAGCATTCTTTTCTATATGAAGGTGGCATTTTTGTCGTGAATTTTTAATTGCCTCTTCCTCGGGAAATTCCTTTCTATGTTCGAATTTTTGTGTTAGTTAACAGCCTATCCTCACTGCCATATCGCCTCATATAATCACTGGTCACACCAAGAGTGTTCGCTGTCTTTCCCTTTCCGACACCGGCCTTTGTGAGAATGAACGTGTATTCCACTCAGTTTAGACTTCTTGCTCATTGCAGCACACTAAACGGACCATGAGTGCAAGATGGCGCTTGCGATTGAGGTCGATGCCGGGCGTTCGGTGTGGCGAATCTACTGCCGGCCTTGACAAGGTATCAGCAACTATGTTATCACGACACGAAACGTGTCGAATGTCGCTGGTGAACTGCGAAATGTAATCTAAATGTCGAATTTCACGAGGAGAGTATTTGTCTGGTGCTGCTTTTAGTGCTGAAGTCAGTGGCTTGTGATCCGTATAAACATGAAATTCGCGACCTTCCAGTAAGTGTCGGAAGTGACGGATGGATGGATAGGTAAATAGCGAGCAGTTCACGACCAAACGTGCTGTAACGGGACCCGGTTGGCGACAGTTTATGAGAGAAAAATGGGGGGGTTGATGGGTATTGTTAATGGTTTGCTGTAAAAACAGCACCACAGAGTCGTTGAAGGCGTCCACATTAAGTGACGATACAGAGTTGGGTTGCAACTAAAAAACTTGGAAGAATTCGCTAGGGAAGCTTTGACTTGCTCAAAAGCAGAAATAGCGGAGTCGGTCAAATGAAACGTCTTTGGTTTTCCGGATAATAGTTTAGTGAGTGGTGCTGACAATGATGCAGCCTTGGGACTAAAACGTCTGTAGAAGTTTATCATACCCAGAAAACGCTTAAGTTG